GAAGATAGAGAGCCATGCATACAGAAGTCCAATGAAATCCCTTCACTTGGAGAGCCCACTCTGATGCAGTCCACTTCAATGACGCTCTATACAGTTGTTCCCACAACAGTGTGATCACAGTGTCCATTCGTTTAAGCAGCAGTGATTCTTCTCAAGTTCATCATCTTAATCACCATGAACATGTTGTATTGAGAAGATGCATGACAATCAAAGATCTAGTCTCATATACCAGATGTGGAGTGTTTCTTCTTACGTAAGGCGTAACCCTAATTCTCTTAGAATGATGGTACTTATAGATCCGTCGATAGAACACTCCTTCCAAAGATGTCTTTGATTGTAGATGGTAGGACAATATTTGAAGAAAGTAATCTTAAAGATTCGGTCCATACCTTTCCAAAGCAGATACGTTGATCTTCCTTCCAAACCTGTCTCCTGTAAACCGCGTACAGCTTTTAAGTCAATACCTTCTTAAATCAGATCTTCAGTGTCAGTCATTCTTTTGTTGCTTCTGATTGATGAGTCGTCTGTAGAGCTGGACGGACACAAGCTAAACCTATCTTAGTATGCCATAATAATATTGCCAATTATAAGATGGGGTTTTTTGAACAATTAAAAATACTAACACTCATCATTCTCATTTTTTCTTCCTAAAATCCATGGAATTAAAATCCCAAGGGGGGCATGGGATTTTAATTCCATGAAAATGAGGGAATTGCAATTCCGTGGAATTGCAATTCCTTTCAACCAAACTAAGGAATTTAATAGCCTTTGAAATTAGGTGGGAATTAGGTGGAAATGGAATTTAAATTCCCTCCAACCAACACCCTGTAAGAGTGCGTTTAGTTATATTTGCTTGGAATTATAAAATTCTTATGTTTGGTTCAAGTTATGCAATTTTTTTAAAAAAAATGTAGCATAATTTTCATATAAAGTTTTTAGCTATTGGGGAATGTGAGATACCCTTCCATTTCTTAGGTATTCTCACATTCTCTTGTCTTATTGCTCAAATTTAGAGTTAATTAATTTTAAATCATTTATTTCTATATTTTATCATTGTCTTATTTATTTGTTTTAATTTTAAATTTATTAAAATACATAAAAATATGTTAAAAATATTCAGGTAAAAATAATCATCATAACATAAAAAAAAAAATAAAAAAAAAAACTCTCCAACCAAACAGATTTATATTACATACCTCTGTTTTAAACCAAACATAGAAATCTAACATTATCAAAATATAACATTCCCAGTAATCTAACATTCTCCGAGGTAATATAACATTCCGTAAACCAAACAACCCTTAAAGACGTCTTTGGTTGGTGGAGGAGAATAAAAAAGAAATTGAATTTAAATTTTATAAAAAAAATATATTTGTAATATTAATTTTATTAAGGAAAAAGGTACAAATAGACCATTGAACTATTATTTGAAAAATAGCAATTAAGCCATCGAACTTTAAAAATCTCTAAATCAATCCACGAACCCGGAAATAAGTTACAATTGGCATTTTTAGCAGGTAAATATCCAATTTCCACTAACATGTGTGATTATATTATTTTTATTAGACTAGTATTTGCACCCGTGCGATGCACGGAATGGATTTGTTGTAATATATTAAGAATATATGCATCGATATATAATTATTTAAATTAGAACATCAAATATTATATAGTGCAATTAAAGATATGGTTTGGATCATTTATATATTTTGATGTTATCATTGCTTGAATTTGTGCAAATAATTGCTCAAATTAATAGCTAATGTCTTGTACGCATGCAGTGCTATAACTTTGAAGATTTTATTTATCATTGTTTAGTATTTTCATAAATTAGGCAGATGTGCTCGTTCTCAAACAACTCAGTTATAGAAATGAATTGCTATCCTTATTCATTTGTATGGAAGATATATTTTTTTGTCTACATATATAGCAATTTTTTCATTTAAAAAAAAAACTTAATATCACCGATTATATTTACACATTATTGAAACCTCTTTGTAGACGACATTGGTAGTGGCAACACAATCTTGTTCATCTTCGTCTAGAGCTAACACCTTCAATCCATCGGGACGGGTTACTTGGGTGAAAATATATAATGATAGAATATCACTCAATTAGTTATCCTTTTATATTTTCAGTCAATTAGTAATCAAATTCATTTTCAGCCAATTATTCTTTTTTATTTCAGTTGATTAGTTAATTAGAATATCAAATGCAGTGATATTTTTACCTAATTTTTGTTCCAATTTGAATTGATGATGTAGATATTATTATTGAAATATTTCCGTTCCATTTTTAATTTACCTTTACTATTGTTTAAAATGCATTTACTATTGATAATGTAGAATATTATTATTGAAATATTTTCCTCCAATTTTAAATTCCCATTCCATTTTTAATTAAAATGCAATGATCTGGCCATTTTTTTAGTCAATTATGAATCATTTTTTATTTGCAGTCAATTATTCATTTTCTTTTATATTTTCAGTCAATTAGTAATATTAGATTCATTTTCAATCAATTATTTTTTTTAAAAATTTCTAGTCAATTATTCATTTAGAATATAGATGCAATAATATTTTTACCCAATTTCCGTTCCATTTTAATTTGATGATGTAGAATATTATTAATGAAATATTTTGTTCCACTTTTAATTTACCTTTACTATTTGATGATGTAAAATATTATTATTGTAATATTTTCTTTCCATTTTTAATTTTCATTTACTTCTAAACCAAAAAAAAAAAAAAGAGACATTGGACTTCTCAATACTTGACCACATTGATGGGCAAGCAATTATGTTTGTTGGAGGAGTATTGCTCCTCTTATATAGAGGAGCTTAATAGCTCCTATTTCCAAACATTTTCAATGTGAGATCAAAATGATGCCACATCATTTACAAAGGGAGCCCGTGGCTCCTTTTTGTCTTCCTTATTTTTTTAATTAATTTTTAATTTATTTTGTATATTATTTTGTTTGGATAACTCCGTAATTTGCTCCAAACTGCTAAAAACTAAAACAACACATACATTTTGGGTTAATCTTTCCCAACCTCCAATAATAAATAATAAATAAATAAACTAAACTAAAATAAGAAGACAAAGTCAAGGTTTCTTAAATAAGAACCTTTTGACTTCTCAATACTTTGCCACATCGATGAGCAAATAATTATGTTTGTACCTCTTATATAGAGGAGCTCAAAAGCTCCTCTTTTCAAATATTTTCAATGTGTGATCAAAATGATCCCATATCATTTACAAAGGGAGCCCGTGGCTCCCCTTTGTCTTTTTTTTTTTTTTTTTTTTTTGTTAATTTTAATTATATTTTGTATATAATTTTGTTTGGATTATTATTATTATTATTATTATTATTATTATTATTATTATTATTATTATTGTTGTTGTTGTTGTTGTTGTTGTTGTTGTTGTTGTTGTTGTTGTTGTAACTTGATTATTTGACAAATTAGCCAAAATTTTAAAAAAATCGCCAGTTTAATATTTATATTTAATCAAAACACCAAAAGCATTATTTAATAACTTAGCAATTTGCTCCAAACTGCTAAAAACTAAAACAATAATATACATTTTGGGTTAATCTTTTCCAAACCCCCTACTAAATTAAAATTTTTTTAAAAAAAGTAAAATGACTCGTTGGGTCCCAATAGGTTGAGAAAGTTTATATGAATAGATATTACATGTAATAGGGTGAATCGAATAGTTATGTTGTGGAACCGTGTCCACCTTGCAAGGTGGACACAATTTTATTTCATAATTAGTGAACTATATGTTCATAATAATAAAGCTATATATTCATAATCTTTGAACTTCATATTCATAGAATATTCTTATTGAAATATTTTGTTTTCATTTTAAATTTACCTTTACTTGATGATGTAGAATATTATTATTGAAATATTTTCGTTCTATTTTTAATTTTCATTCCATTGCTTAAATTTGTGAAATATTTATGATATAATTGTGATTTGATTTATTCTACTGTGTAATATTGTAGTGAAAATTTTAAAAATAATGATCTGACCATTTCCTTTTCCATTTTAGTCAAGTATCGATCAATTTTTTTTCAGCCAATTATTAATATTTATTTCTTTTTTCAATTAACCTAATTTCTGTTCTTTTTTTTCAATTTTTAATTTTCAATCCATTATTAATATTCATTTCATTTTCCAATTTACCTAATTTCCGTTCAATTTTTATTTGATAATGTAGAATATTATCGTGAAATATCTCTATTCCTTTTTAATTTCCGTTTTTTTTTTTCTTTTAATTTACCTTTACTATTCATTATTGTTTGGGCTTGAAATCAGATAAATAGGATTTTATTTTTAATTATAGTATAGATTATAAATTAAAAAGAATGGTCAAGTTTTTTATTTTCATTATATTACGAATTAAAAATTAGGATTTTTATTATACTTGAACAATAATATTACCAATTATATTATAGAATATAATACCATATATAATATTACCAATTAATAGATTTTAGTTAATTCCATTTTTCATTTTCTTACCAAATAAGCTTTATTAATTATTTGATCAATAAAATATTTAATTAACTACCAGGACTATGTGGTCCAATGGTATCCGGGTTGGACTTCCATTTGGAAGATTATAAGTTCGAGCCTCAGTGGAGGCGTTATTGGTTCTTATTGGTTCTTTGTGTTTCAATAGGTTGAGAAAGTATATGAACAGATACTACAATGTAATAGAGCCAGTAACTTTCAAAAAAAAAATATTTAATTAACTAATACAAAAGTAGTTTAGCGGACAACCTTCCAGTCACAGAGTAGCTCCGTCTTTTCCGAACGTGGGTTTCTCCGATCGTGCTCTAGCTCTCGTAATTGAATCGTGGCCCCCTCTCTTAGCACACGTTGAGAGAGTGTTTCCCTAGATTTCTAGGGCTTTATATTGTTTGGAATCATGGATTTGTTATTACGAAAATTTGCTATTCTGGTGATCTACATTCACCCCCGATTAGGCATGGATACCAGTCAAATTGAGGAGCGGTGCGCGGCCCTGAGTCTGATTGAGGAGGATGCCAGCGGATTGGAAGCGCCTGATGTCCAGGCTTGTCCAGATGCCTCGATCAAGAACAACCTGGTTGGGCGTTTTCTCACAGATCGGCCAATTAAATTTGAATTTATGCAACAGATTCTGGCGTCTGTGTGGAGGCCGGTAATGGGAATGCAAGTGTTAGCGTTGACGGACGAATTGTTCCTTTTCCAGTTTCCCCATCCTAAGGATCTCAATAGGGTCCTCGAAGATGGCCCGTGGACGTTCGAGAACAGCCTTCTCATATGCGAGACAGTCCCACCGGAAACCAGACCGGAGGATGTCAAATTGGATACGGTTTGTTTTTGGGCTCAGATTCATGGTTTACCGTCCGTGTTTGCAACTAAGGAATTTCTGGCGAAGATTGGAGATTACCTGGGTAGCTTCATCACCGTCGATCCGGGTAATTTTGGAGGATCATGGCGTAGCTATTTCCGCATCAGAGTGCGGATGGACATCAACGCCCCGCTGAAGAGGAGGATGAAACTATTGCGTAAAGATGGTTCATCACAATGGGTTTCATTCCGCTATGAGAGACTGGGTACTTTTTGCTTCTGCTGCAGAGTACTGGGGCACGTAGACAAGTTTTGTAAAAGAGTTTATGAGGAAGGAACAACCCCAGAGGAATTTCCATTCGGGCCGTGGATGCGTGCTGGACCACGGCGCCAAGTTCGACCAGTGGTGGCGAAATGGTTGTTGTCATCCCAGGCGACACTAATGACTCCATCTAATGTACCTGCTGCGGGTCCTACTCCAAGGGCTACGGTATCGCTGGAAGAAAATGGTGGCATACAGGGGGAACTCAAAAGGCGAAGGGAGGATAGTGGATCGTCGGGGAATGATCGGGAGGATGATGTAACAATGCTGGAATCTGTCAATATTCTGCCAAAGGCGGGTCTGGAGGGCCAGGCTCGCCTAGATCAATGAGTATCCTAAGCTGGAACTGCCGGGGTTTGGGCGGCACCCGGACAGTTCGCGAACTCTTGGGCATGGTGTCCAAGCAGCGGCCCTCGTTCGTTTTCTTAATGGATACGAAATCGGATGATGTTAAGGTGGAAGAAGTGAGAGTGCAGTTGGGGTGGGAAGGGGCTTTTGGTGTGGATCGGGTGGGTCAAGGTGGGGGTTTAGCTCTGTTTTGGAGGGATGCTGATGTTGTTACATTATTAAGCTTTTCGGTAAACCATATAGACGTGATCATTGATATTCCAGGTCGACCTAGTTGGAGGCTTACAGGCTTCTACGACAATTGGGATAGGGCATAAAGACCAGTTACATGGAACCTGCTGCGACAGTTGGAGACAAGATCGTCACTACCTTGGATTGTGGTGGGCGACTTCAATGACATTACAAGCTTATCGGAGAAGAGAGGTGCTCATTCACACCCGGAATCACTCATCGAAGGATTTAATGATGCCTTGAGTGGTTGCAGGCTAAATGATCTAGGAATGATTGGTGGTCGGTTCACCTGGGAGCGCGGCCATGGAACTGATGCTTGGGTTGAAGAAAGGCTCGATAGAGCAGTGGCAACGGTGGAGTGGACTGAATTGCATGAAGAGGTGATCGTTCAGAATCTGCATACATTGTCATCTGATCACACCGCCATCTTTGTGGATCTGGAAACGAGGCCGGTGCGTACAGCTCTGCGTAAGTTCAGGTTCGAATCAACGTGGCTGTTGGAGGAGGGGTGTTCGAAGGTGGTAGAAGAGGCTTGGCGCCAATCAGTGGGAAGGCCGTTCCAGGACAGAATTGAGCTATGTGGGAAATATTTGGGCAAGTGGGGGGGGGGGGGGGGGACATGTCAGGTTGTTTGGTGATCGTATTAAAATCATGCGGCGTAAATGTGAGAATTTGAAGGAGGATAGGAGCATGCCGGCGGTGAATGAATATTTATTTGTTCGTGGGGAGCTGGAGAAACTGTTGAAGCAGGAAGAAATATTCTGGAAACAGCGGTCCAAATAGTTGTGGTTGAAACAGGGGGATGCCAACACAAAGTATTTTCATAAGATGGCTACGGCTCGCCGCAAAAGAAATTTACTTCTGCGCCTCAAAGACCAGGAGGGACACTGGAGGGAAGGAACGGCTATGCACAGTGAAATATTGAGGTATTTTAATTGCATTTTATGTTCTGGTAATAGCAACCAGGCTCTGTTCCAACGTGTACAAAAACGGGTGACTGATGAGATGAATATCCCTATGTTACAACCGTTCACGTTAGCAGATGTGAAAGCGGTATTGTTTGCTATAGCACCAGATAAGGCATCGGGCCCAGATGGCATGTCCCCGGCCTTCTACCAACATTTTTGGCTGGTCCTGGGACATGATCTGGCAATGTTTATTTTGAATTGTATGGCAAACAAAGAGTTTCCACCGGGACTGAATATTTCAAATATTGTCTTACTCCCAAAGAAGAAAATTCCCGTAAAGGTGTCTGATTTACGTCCGATAGCACTTTGTAATGTTGCTTACAAAGTGTTTGCCAAGATGATGGCTAACAGGCTAAAAGAAACCTTGGGGGTGATAGTGTCACAATCCCAAAGCGCTTTTGTCCCTGAGCGGTTGCTAACCGACAATATTATTATAGCGGGGGAACTTGGTCACTACCTTAGGAGAAAGACGAGTGGGGTTATGGGGTGGACAGCATTAAAGCTGGACATGGCCAAGGCCTACGACAGGATGGAATGGGGGTATCTAGAAGGCATGTTGGGTGCTCTTGGCTATGCACAAGAGTGGATTCAGGCCATTATGCTATGTGTCTCAACCGTTAACTACACTATTCAGGTTAATGGGGAGGCCATTGGCTCGGTGTGTCCCACTCGGGGTATTCGCCAAGGAGACCCTTTATCCCCGTACCTCTTTATCTTGTGTGCTGAAGGTTTATCATTGCTGTTACAGCAGGCGGAGGCACGTGGTGATATACATGGGTTAAGGGTGGCCCGGGGAGCCCCGGCGATCACCCACCTATTTTTTGCTGACGACAGCCTGTTATTTTTCAGGGCCACACAGAATGAAGCGTTAAAAGTCAAAGAATGTTTACAGTTATACAGCGAGGCATCGGGTCAACAAATCAATTTTGACAAGTCCAATGCTGTCTTCAGTCTCAATACACTACCAGAGACGCGGGAGTTGATATCAAATTGTATCGGTGTTCATGTGGCGAAGGATCTCGGCCGTTATTTAGGCCTACCATCGAATGTGGGCCGGAACAAAATAGCTATTTTCAGGTATGTTGAGGAAAAAATACGGGACAGGATAGGAATGTGGCAACATAAGCTATTGTCAAGGGCAGGCAAAGAAGTCCTTATAAAGAGTGTTGCTCAGTCCTTACCTATCTTCACTATGTCAACTTTCTTACTGCTAAGACGGACGTGTGATTCTATCGAAAAATGTCTTAATAGGTTTTGGTGGGGCGGTGGAGGTAATGGATCTCGGGGAATTCATTGGTTATGTTGGTCTCGGTTATGTGTACCGAAGATGCTGGGGGGGACTAGGATTCAAGAAGTTGCATGAATTCAACTTAGCGTTACTTGCTAAGCAGGGGTGGCGACTGCTAATAAATCCGGGATCTTTAGTGAGCAAACTGTTAAAGGCAAAATACTATCCGACTACTAATTTTTTGGAGGCGAAAACTGGGAATAATCCAAGCTATTTGTGGCGTAGCATTATTGCCGGCCAAGAGGTGTTAAGGAGGGGGGTGGCACGGCGTATTGGTGATGGTGGAAATACGAAAATATGGGAATGGGGTTGGCTATCGGATAATGCTAATCCCAATCTTCACACGCCTTACGTTGAAGAGCTGAGTGAGGCCCGGGTGAGTGGTCTAATGATGAGCGATGGAAACTGGGATGTCGATATACTCACGAATATCTTTGAGGAGGCCGATGTACAGCGAATTTTAGCAACTCCTGTCAACCGCCTCTTTCCGGACTCGTGGAGGTGGATCGGTGATTTACGCGGGCAGTATACTGTGAAACACGGTTACAAAATGTTGATGATGGTGGACAGTCACGGGAATGAGGTGCAGAATTTTAAGGCGTGGAAGCTTTTGTGGTTGTTACCAGTCCCAGCTAAAATTAAAAACCTGCTATGGAGATGTGCTAGGGGGGTATTGCCAACACGCGAGAAGCTTAGAATGAGGCAAGTGTGGATAGGGGGTGGTTGTCCTATGTGTGGTTTTCCAGCAGAAACTCAAGGCCACCTCTTTGCCGAATGCTGGTTTGCTACGGAACTATGGGGCCAAACTGATTTGCTGCAGGGACGAACATGGACCGAATTCATGGAGGCTTGTATCACCAGTTCGGACGTGAAGATGGCGGTAAGGTTGGCTGTCATTGTGGAGGTGATCCGGTCATCCCGCAACGAGTGTGTCTGGAGGAGTGTATCGCCGTCGATCATGTCTATGCACAGTAAGGCTCAGGCGTTGCAGATTGTCTGGGAGGAAAATTTTGGCACCCAAGTCAGTGAGAGGAGGAGTGCCAACAATACGCCTTGGAGTCCACCGCCGCGGGGCCGGTTAAAGTGCAATGTCGACGCCGCTATTTCCCCGAGTGGTGTGGGCTTCGGCGCTATTCTACGAGACCATTCTGGGTGATTTGTAGCAGCGAAAAGTGGTTTTATTGTGAACATTCAAGACCCGTTCATGGCAGAAGCGATCGCGGCAAAGGAGGCTCTATCCTGGCTTAAGACGCTCAAGTCCTCGAGTATTAGTGTTGAATCGGATTGTTTAAATTTGTGTACCGCTTTTAATTCTTGCACGGTTGATTTTTCGTATGTAGGTTTAGTTGTTAAGCAATGTATTTCTATTGCTAAGGACATTGGTGACGTGTGTGTTAACCATGTCAAGAGATCAGCGAACCAAGTCGCTCATGAATTAACACGGGCAACAGGTTCTGAGACTGTCTCTGGGGAGTGGGCTGTTATCCAGCCAACTTGTATTTCGGGTTTGTTAAGCTATTAATGAAGTTTTCCTTTTGTTTCAAAAAAAAAAAAAAAAAACTAATACAAAAGTATGGGCGAAAAAAATTAAATATGAGGATTTTGCTTATATATATATATATATATATATATATATATATATATATATATATATATATATATATATATATAATATATATATATATATATATATATATATATATATATAATATATATATATATATATACACACACACACACACAGTGGCAGAGCCACAATGGGGGCAGTGGGGGCCACTGCCCCCCCTCAACCCTTCGTTCTAATATATAAGTATATGTATAAATCACAAAAGTGCTCAATAGATCAGTGGATTGAACCTTGAATATGATATGGAGTGTCTTAGGTTCAAAACCTACCAATAGCATTTTTATATGTTTTAGACTTTTACTTCTTATCTTTATTCTAACTTTTCAATAAATTAAATGTATTCTTTTTAATTCTATTTTTTTTGCATGTATATTTTAGCTTCTTTTCTTTATTTTAGCTCTCCTTACCATTCAATAAATTAAATATTTTTTAAGTCTACTTTTTTTGAATCATTTACTTAATGTAGTCAACAAGTTTATATTATATTTCATCGTATTCAAATTAATTCAAACAGAACTGTGAAAGATGCAACTTTTTCTTAGAAGTGAGATCTGGAGTTAAATACGCCCCCACTCACATTATTTTCTGGCTCCACCACTATATATATATATATATATATATATATATATATATATATATATATATATATATATATATATATATATATATATATATAACCGAGATTGATACTTCATAACATGTTCTTGGGGAAATGCACATGCAAAAAATTGCCCTAAAAAGTCAATATAAATATGCATATCAGATTCTGGGATTACAAAAATCGAAAACAACATGATATTAAAGCAAAGAATATAATGAAAGACATACCTCAATGTCATGAAAGACACATTTTTTGCACTTGATTGAATCGCTTGTCCTACGATATCTTATTTCAAATGTACATACACAACACAATTTAATAGGACATGTTGTTCGCAATGAAGTGACTTCAGTGGCGAGAATATAAAATATAAAGAGGAGCCATGATCGAAACTACAGTGGCGAGCCTAGGATGTTTGCTATGTATTTGAATTGCACTCAAACTCTGTATCCGTGTATACTGTAATGGTAGTTTGAGATGGATGCTAATATGTATTTATAGCCTAGAAGAATGTAATAATAAATTAGGTTATCATTATGGTATTTATTATATTACCAATTATAACCTAATATATATATATTATTCTATAATAATATATTCTAAATTTCCTACTATATATTCTATAATTCGTGATATAAATATAACATTTATTAAATATTATTAATAATCTATATAATATGTATATATAAATAATGAATGATATTACAAAAATGCCCTTAGTTTTGGGGGAAAAATTTGCTAGGAGGCTTTTACTTTTATATATATATATATATATATATATATATATATATATATATATATATATGTATATATATATATATATATGTATATATATATATATATATATATATATATATATATATATATATATAGATATATAGATAGATTACATTGCTTCTGTTTTCTATTTCTCTCTCTAAAAAAGAGTCTTCCCATCTCACTTTGTCATGTCCAACAACAAAAGCAATTTTCATTTCTTTTGTAGATTGAATCAATCCCCCGTCCCCGACGATCTAGAGCAGATAGCTCCGGTCCTGGAATCCATTGTAGTGCTTAAGAGAGTAGCCGAAAATGTGTCAAACCATTTGGTACAATGGGAGCAGATAGCTCCGGTCCCGAAATCCATTGCAGTGCTTAAGAAAGTTGTCGACCTGATTACGTGATGGAGTGATGGATTTAATTAACCTGGGGTGGACCCGAATCAATAAATCTGGATAAGAACGTAATATAAATAATACATAAATAATATAAATAATACATAAATAATATAGAACGATATAGCAAAAGGTCGTGAGACCGTATATTATATTAATTGCCGTAGGAATTGACTATTACAAAGATTCGGTAGGACAAAGTGTGTAATAAGTGTAGAATGTAAATAGAATGCCCTTTGTTAGGACAAGGAGGGGGCTTTTTATACAAGCTAACCCCCCAACCACCTCCCCCTAAATCGGGGGGTGGTTAGATCACTACTTTGACCGGGCCCAGGCGGACCGGGTCGGGTCGGGTCCCAAGCTCGGGTGGCGTCGAGCTCTGGTAAAACCGACCTCCCCTACCCGAGCCCCCCACAGGCCGAGCTCGAGTAGGGTCGTGCCATCCGACCCGAGCCCCACGTAGGTCGGCTCGGGTCGGGGTACCTCCATGGTGCTCCGGGTCTGTGTTGCTTCTTGGGCCCCAATGTGGTGCCCCGGGTCCGCGTTGCTCCTGGGCTCCACAGTGGTGCTCTGGGTCCGCGTTGCTACCCCGGGTCGGGTCGTGTGTATAATATATCCATCATGAGTCCCCCAGTCTCTTCGTTGCGAGTGGAAGTCAACGAATGAGAGTATTCGTGCGCCGACCCGAGCCCCCTAGGTGGGAAATTCCGAGCTCCTAATTTTAGCCGACCCCCTCCAAGAATTTATATTGCAGATAAAATTCTTGCTCCGCGAAATTCTCTTCAAATAAGCTAGAATCCCTACAAAAATGCAACACTTCCCTATAAAAGCCTTGGAAACCTTCCCCTAATAAATCCAAACAACTTTTCTTCTCCCATCACCATCAATTCTCTCTCTTCCCAACCCCCTTTTTGAATCCCAAAAATTTGGTCAACCCTTTTTTCCCCCTTCTCTCTCCTCCCTTACTCTCCCAACACTCTATTTAACCCCCATTCCCCTTCATTTTTTCGGCCACCACTACTCCTCCCTACCAAAAAATTCTCTCAAGCTCTCCTCAAGTCACAAGTGCTCTCCCGGGGTTCCCAAGCCAAGTTTCGGTTTCGTGGTCGGTTAGTCCCTCCTCCTTCCTCTTTCCTTTCGGCCATCCGCCCTCTACATTTTTTTTTTGCGCCGCCGTGCTTCGGCCGAGCTGCTACCGTGCTCTGGCTGAGCTGCCACCGTCCGCCGATCTACTGCCGTGGGCTGCCCGCGGCCACCGGTGGGAGATCCGGCCGACCCCTCACCTCCCCCTCTTTGGTCTACCTACCTTGTATGTTCATAAACTTCGGGTGCACGCACCTCCCCTTTTTTGGTCCATCTACCTTGTATGTTATAAACTTTGGGTGCACGTACCTCCCCTCTTTTGGTCCACCTACCTTGCATGTCCATAAGCTTTGATCTCAACGTGCTAGATTCCATAAGTGATAGTGAGGTCGGTATGAGTGACCCCGACTCCGTCAATGAGTTTCCTTCCCCTAGCCAGGAGGCTACCGACCTCCACGGGCTTCCTGGGCCCAGCCATCCCTTCCGGATCGCCGTCCCCAACCCCACTGCCGACCCCGAACCGGTGGAATACACCGGCCTGGCGCAGGACACTTTGCGCACCACCCTTGTCTACCTCTCCCGCGGTCAGTTGGACAGGGACGTGAAAGCTGTGGGGTCGGGTGCCGAGGTGGTGGAGCCCTCACCTGGCGGTAACGTCACGGAGCCCCCGAGTCGCCATCACTTTGGCATTCATGTCTTGTCTTTGCTGAATGGGTTCCGTTTTCTTGTCCATCCCTTCACGGTGGACCTACTCAACTTTTATGAGATTAGTCCGGGTCAGTTGGTCCCAAACTCCCATTACGTGATTTTGGCCTTCCTCTTGAGGTGTCTGGAGATTCGTGTCGAGCCATACCCTCGATTTGTTCAATTTCCTCTTCCATGTCACTGTATCTTCAGGACGATCGAGTAAGGGGTGGGTGTCTTGGCTCGCTCGCACATGAAAATCTTTCAGGACATCTAATCTTCCAATAATCAGTGGAAACCCGTGTTCGTTTACGTTTCCGTGGGTCCCAAGTTGCCTCTCATGTTCTCGTGGAACACCCGCTTTCGTAAGCTTGTGACCCCCCGAGAGAGTGAAAATCTGATGAGGGATGCGCATGCCTTCCGCCACCCGGGTCCCTGTATCTATATAGCGCCCATGTTGACCGAGGAGAACATGGTGCGCCTCGGCTTCACCCCGGGTACCTTGCTACCGCCCCCCTCCCCCTCCACCCCCGCGGCGTACGAGTCCCGCGCGCAGCTCCGTGGACCCCGCCCATGCTCTCACGGCGCTTCAGCCTATGGCCATTGCTCCCGGTGTAGAGTCCTTTCGGGTTGAGGGGGCTGCTACTCATGCTTTTGAGGTAAGACATCCCTTGTCCCAGCTTTGTTCGGGTTGGGAACATTCTTCTCACCCTATCTTCTTTCAGGCTGCTCAGCGTTGGATACTACTCGTTCAAGCTCACGAGGCCACCAGGGTACGGGTGGGCGCTCTTACCCATGCCATGGAGGTGGCCAGGCGATCCCACCAGGTTGAGCTGGAGAGACTGCGTGGGGAGCCGGATAGATTGCGAGGGGAGTTGGAGATACAGCATGGGGAGCTGGAGAGACGGCGTGCGGAGCTCTCCCGAACGGTCCCCACCTTCTTGGAGTCTGAGGATTTCAAGACCAGGGCCATGTCCTATGCTCGCGGTCACCTGGCCGAGTTAGCG